GTATTTTGAAAATAATAATATCCAAGGTCTTTACTTGTACTCCCGAGTGGCGCAGTGGTCTAAGGCACTGCATCGCAGTGCTAGCTGTGCCACTAGAGATCCTGGTTCGAATCCAGGCTCTGTCGTAGCCGGCCGCGACCAGGAGACCCATGGGGCGGTGCGCACAATTGGCCCAGCGTCGTCCAGGGTAGGGGAGGGAATGGCCGGCAGGGGATGTAGCTCAGTTGGTAGAGCATGGCGTTTGCAACGCCAGGGTTGTGGGTTCGATAAAAAAATAATGTATGCACTAACTGTAAGTCGCTCTGGATAAGAGCGTCTGCTAAATGACTAAAAATGTTTAAAAAATGTAAATTTACAGGTAGTATTGGTGTATTAGGACATGGATATTTGTGGTTGTAAGGTATTTTAGATGTATTTCTGGATTGAATGGGATGCTATGGGCAAACGGCATAACACAATATGCCTATAAAGTATCTAAATACATGAGATATGGAACAAAAACTGTCTTGGGATATTAAAGGTACCTCAGCGATATGACGTAGCTGCAGAAAGTAAACAGCATAGGGGGTCAATATCCGCAACAACTAAGAGCGTTGAAGCGTGAAGCTCAACTTCGCCACTGTTTTGTTGCCCTGACTACCACGCTGTGAACAGCGTGAAGCGAATCCATGCACAGATACTGTATGTGACTGTGTGAGCGCTAAGTCTTGCGTCTCGCTCATCTCAATATCTGCGGTGCTGCTTGTGGCAATATCATTTCGCTGAGTCTACCTTTAACCAACAGTGTAGGTAAGTGTGAAAACAGGTACAGATGTAAAAATGAGGGATATCCTCCTTTAAGTGGTGGGGTTGCGCTTTGCTGAAACACAAACTGCCGATTCCAAATAAAATTGTATTTGCCACATGCGCCGAATACAACAGGTGTAGACATTACAGTAAAATGCTTACTTACAAGCCCTTAACCAACAATGCAGTTTAAGAAAAAAAATTAAATAGCAAACAATTAAAGCGCAGCAGTATAATAAAATAACAGTAGGGAGGTTATATACAGGGGGTACCGGTACAGAGTCAATGTGCGGGGGCACCGGTTAGTCGAGGTAATTGAGGTAATATGTACATGTGGCTTAAAGTAAGTTAAATGGGGTTTCTAGACCCCATGTTTCTTGACAAACCGTAGTTAATCAAATAAATGTTGTTTTTACAAAAAATCAAGGTTTAAGGATTGGGCCTTGTAAATAGATAAAGTTACCAGCATAGCTCACCCATTGACTATAAATGAGACTTAGCTTATTATCATTACTGAAATTAAGGTTCTTATTACCGAAACTGACCTAAAAATGATGTCGTAATGAGTACCTTAACTCAATATGCAAATAATAGGAGACAGCCATTATGAGTCAGCAAACAATTGACCACATCACTAAAGCCTTTCATGCCTCCATGTTGCTAAGGTAATGGTTCTCTGACCTTTTCCCAATTTGAGCTTTTTAGCCGTTTTGGTAATGAGAAGTCCAAGTGGGTTAAAGGGGGTGTTTGAGAATAAGAATCTAATTTTGAAGACTTATAAACCAATAAATTAACTTAACTTGTGCTCATCTAAGGACTACCCCTCTAGATCAGTGGTTCACAAACTGTAGGGCGCGCCCGAGGGGATAATACAGTGGGGGAAAAAAGTATTTAGTCAGCCACCAATTGTGCAAGTTCTCCCACTTAAAAAGATGAGAGAGGCCTGTAATTTTCATCATAGGTACACGTCAACTATGACAGACAAAATGAGAAAAGAAAATCCAGAAAATCACATTGTAGGATTTTTTTAATGAATTTATTTGCAAATTATGGTTCAAAATAAGTATTTGGTCAATAACAAAAGTTTCTCAATACTTTGTTATATACCCTTTGTTGGCAATGACACAGGTCAAACGTTTTCTGTAAGTCTTCACAAGGTTTTCACACACTGTTGCTGGTATTTTGGCCCATTCCTCCATGCAGATCTCCTCTAGAGCAGGGATGTTTTGGGGCTGTCGCTGGGCAACACGGACTTTCAACTCCCTCCAAAGATTTTCTATGGGGTTGAGATCTGGAGACTGGCTAGGCCACTCCAGGACCTTGAAATGCTTCTTACGAAGCCACTCCTTCATTGCCCGGGCGGTGTGTTTGGGATCATTGTCATGCTGAAAGACCCAGCCACGTTTCATCTTCAATGCCCTTGCTGATGGAAGGAGGTTTTCACTCAAAATCTCCCGATACATGGCCCCATTCATTCTTTCCTTTACACGGATCAGTCGTCCTGGTCCCTTTGCAGAAAAACAGCCCCAAAGCATGATGTTTCCACCCCCATGCTTCACAGTAGGTATGGTGTTCTTTGGATGCAACTCATCATTCTTTGTCCTCCAAACACGACGAGTTGAGTTTTTACCACAAAGTTCTATTTTGGTTTCATCTGACCATATGACATTCTCCCAATCCTCTTCTGGATCATCCAAATGCACTCTAGCAAACTTCAGACGGGCCTGGACATGTACTGGCTTAAGCAGGGGGTCACGTCTTGCACTGCAGGATTTGAGTCCCTGGCGGCATAGTGTGTTACTGATGGTAGACTTTGTTACTTTGGTCCCAGCTCTCTGCAGGTCATTCACTAGGTCCCCCCGTGTGGTTCTGGGATTTTTGCTCACTGTTCTTGTCATCATTTTGACCCCACAGGGTGAGATCTTGCGTGGAGCCCCAGATCGAGGGAGATTATCAGTGGTCTTGTATGTCTTCCATTTCCTAATAATTGCTCCCACAGTTGATTTCTTCAAACCAAGCTGCTTACCTATTGCTGATTCAGTCTTCCCAGCCTGGTGCAGGTCTACAATTTTGTTTCTGGTGTCCTTTGACAGCTCTTTGGTCTTGGCCATAGTGGAGTTTGGAGTGTGACTGTTTGAGGTTGTGGACAGGTGTCTTTTATACTGATAACAAGTTCAAACAGGTGCCATTAATACAGGTAACGAGTGGAGGACAGAGGAGCCTTTTAAAGAAGAAGTTACAGGTCTGTGAGAGCTAGAAATCTTGCTTGTTTGTAGGTGACCAAATACTTATTTTCCACCATAATTTGCAAATAAATTCATTAAAAATCCTACAATGTGATTTTCTGGAATTTTTTTCCTCAATTTGTCTGTCATAGTTGACGTGTACCTATGATGAAAATTACAGGCCTCTCTCATCTTTTTAAGTGGGAGAACTTGCACAATTGGTGGCTGACTAAATACTTTTTTTCCCCACTGTATCTTTGTGGGATAGAAATGCCAAAAAATTGAGGAAAAGTACTGTTTCCTCATGTCTAACCAGGAGGTTTGAAAAGATAGACAGTGGGCGTGGAGCTTATATTAATGAGGTCGCCTTGACTGACAGCTCTTTGAAACGCGTATGTCAAGAAACTTCGATGCAGTGTTGCAGTACGATCATCTCTAGCTAATTTGGTGATACACAAAGCACCCCAAACAACATTGAAATTGCATCAATTATGTCCCAAAAATGTTTACATCTCCCGCATGTCTCTTGTGATGTGGTTCACAGCAGCACTGACAGATGTGTTGACATGACAACACCAGACACAGATGAAAGGGGAGACATATAACACAGGAGGTTGGTGGCACCTTAATTGGGGAGGGCGAGGAGCGAAATGAGTGGAATGGTATCAAATGCATCAAACATCCTCCCCTCCGTCCTCCTCTCAGCAGCTTCCACTGACATATAAGTATCTTTGCCATAGATTAATTATATTTGTTGACACCCTACAGTCAAATGTTGGCACCAGTAGAGTAGCTACAGTATCTAGCTTTATAAACCACACCCCTTCACAAACACGCCTTCTCCGATGTTGGTTACAAGGCAGTACTTATTTAAATTAGGTAAGAGAATATCATGTTACCATTGGTGTATTAAAATGAGAGTTGGGATGATGTCACCCTGTCCCCTTAATAATCCCGCCTTCTGAATCCAAGTGTTTAACATGGGGGAGGGGACCAGTAACTTTATGATCAAACTTGATCAATGTAGAAGCAACAGTCATTTTTCATACTTTGGTCATCATTCTTTCATCTGGTTTCATCCAAATATCATCACATTTCATGAAAAACATGATTTTGACTGTTCGTGACCTTTAAGGAACTCAGTCAAGCTTTCAACTTACTCTTGAAAGTTGTAATAGTAGAATGCACAAGGTGCAAGTTTTGAATTGGGTAGTGCATCAGCAGTATTCCTCTTGTCATGTCAGTCATTACAGACCTTAGAGAGCTATTTATAACATACAGATCAACTAGCCCATGTCAGCTAACGTTTCTTAGCAAGGTTTTTTTAGCCCATTGATTTTGTTGTAATGTTTGAGTTACTCAAATATCACATGAACACATAAGACATGGCAAAATGTGTAGAATTGTGGGAAATTATCTTTAAAACAGCAACAAAAAAAATCTGCACCCCATGACAAAATGTGTAGAATTGTAGGAAATTATCTTTAAAACAGCAACAAAAAAAATCTGCACCCCATGACAAAATGTCTAGAATTGTAGGAAATTATCTTTAAAACAGCAACAAAAAAATTTTGCACACCATGACAAAATGTCTAGAATTGCAGGAAATAAGCTTCAACCTGCAAAAAAAAAAAATCTGCCAACGAGGGGTGTGGGTGCGGTAATGAGACATGTCCACAGACACTGTGTTTTTACGTAATAAATATTACAGTTTAATGTAAACTTCAACTAGTATACCATTTGTATGATTTATGGACAAACTACAGCAACATATTTAGTGTTTTATTCAACTAATTTAGGTTTATCTGAAGTAAAATTTTATCAAATGACCTGTGAATTTAATCCGAACGCATTTCATTAATGAATATTTGGGGTGAAAATGTGCATATTAACTTATTTAAAATAAGAGACTTTGGCAAAATAGTAGACATCTTAGTCTTCAGAATGATAGTTGATTTTTGCATATGCATTGGCTAAGTAACATTAGCTATGGCGGTAAAGTCAGAAAGAAAGGATAGTCATGTTTTGGACGATGAATGTTGTGGCCAACCAAGTTACAAAAAAGTTACTGGTTTAAATTATATCTTTGACCAATCTCTTTTTATCTCCACAGGAAAGAAGATTTGGAGAGACATGAGAAGAGTGGGAGTGAGGAGGAGAGTGGTGAAAATTCTGAAGAAGAAGAGGAGGATGTTAAAGAGGTCAGAAAGGGGGAAGCTGAAACGAATGGAGAAAAGACAGCAGAGGGGTCCAAACATTACAGCAGTGGCAGCAAGCACAAGAAAAAGAAACACAAACACCGCAGCAAGCACAAAAAACACAAACACGCCTCCGAAGAGGACAAGGACCGCAAGCGCAAACATCGACACAAACACAAGAAACACAAACGTAAAGATGGCTCCTCTCCATCCGCCCCTGGCATCAACTCTAGCCACAGAAAAACGGACATATCCCCTTCAACTGACGACAAGGCCTTATTGGAGGAGTTGGAGAAACAGAGGGCCATGATCAAAGCAGAGCTAGACAGCCAGATGATGGAGGGGGGCAAGGTGCAGTCAGGCATGGGCCTCATCCTACAGGGTTATAACTCTGGCTCTGAGGAGGGAGATGGAGAGGGGGGGGTCCGGAACGGGGAGCAGCGCCAGAGGGGCAGCATGGTGAAACCCCCCTCCCCCAGGGGTAGGAGTGGTAATGCCAGACGGGACGCCACAGAAGCGGGCAAGTCCAGCTCCAAGCGCTACAGTCGGAGCAAGTCCAGGGAGAGGACAGGCAAGGAGTCCAAGTCAGACAAAACGACTAAAGGCGCCAAAGACCGTGGCCGCAGCAAATCAAAAGAGAGGAAACGCTCCCGGAGCAGGTCCAAAGACAGAAGAAAGAAGTCTCCTTCCCCCTCCAGCAGGAGAGCAGAGCAGAGGGGCAGCCGCTCGGACAAACGCTCCTCACCCCAGAATAACAACAGACCAAACGTGGAGCACGGCGGCCGGAAGTCCAGATCACGGGAGCGCCCAGGACGGTCGGAGGCGGAGAGAGAGCGGGACAAGAGGCCGACCAAGTCCCAGTCTAAGGACACCTCGTCAGGGAAAGAGAATCGCTCTCCCCAAAGGCGAGGAGGAGGGGGGCTCAGCAGCCCCCAGAGGAGACGCAGCACCTCCCCACGCCCCACCAGAGACTCCCAGCAGGCATCAGCTTCAGCCTCCACCTCCAAACAGGGCTCTCCTTCCAGAGCAGCCAGGTCCCCAGCCAGGAGAGGCAGCAGTCGCTCCCTAGACGCCAGGAGGAGGGATGCTGACAGACAGGGCTCCTCACCACTAAGGTCCGTTACTATGGAATAACCTGCAGTCAACCCCGTATTTCTCCAACTTTGAGTCCCAATGTTTATTTTTTAAATGGGCCATCATTTATTTAAGCCTATATTATTAAGACATTTTTATGCGGTGCCACTTGCATTGTTTCTGCCCGTTTCTTGTCCCGTATTGAACAGCAGTAGTGGTCTGTACATGGCAAGGGCAACTATTACTTTTGTGTTTTAGGATTGGGCATTAAGAATGTGTTACTATCTACCACTGATCTTTTAAGCTTTCTCTCTCCTACAGAAAGCGAAAATGGCCAGAAGCAGGGCCAGGGGGTAGAGCGAGGTCACGGGAGACCAGCCCCAGAGGTGCTCCCCAAGGTCGCAGGATGAGCCGCTCTCCCTTCAGAAGAAGGTCCCCCTCGCCCTTCCGGAGACGGAGCAGGTCTCCACTGAAACGCAGGTTAGACGAGACAAGCTGAAACTTTGTGTGTGTGGATGAGCTGGGCAAAATGGAATCTGCAAGGGTTCTGCCTCAAGCCTTCTTAAATGTATTGAGATGATGCCAGGAAATAATTATAATAATAGTGGTAATACTGTATTACTATTACAGATACTGGGCTAGTTACAATTATTGTAATTGAATAGGCAGGCAATGCTGTCATAGTAGTTATAAGATCCTTTCCAACTGATTCCCTTTCAGATTCTGTCTGGCTCTATTGATGAAGCTTTAGTGATGTCACAGTAGGAGGCTCATAAGCCAAGGTTGTCTAAGGGTTTGTTAAGTGTTTAACAAACCGTTCAGAACAACACAAAGCGTTTCCTTCCTCCAGGTCACCAGAGAGGGATAGGTACGGCCGTCTCAGACAGTACGGCAGGCGCTCCAACTCCTGGGACCGGGACAGGAGGAGGAGACATGGCCGGGACGAGGACAAATTCAAGGGCAGCCTCTCTGAGGGCATGAAGGTCGACAAGGAGTCCTCCGAAGAGGAAGTGTGAGTAGAGGGAGAACACACACACACATAAATGCTACACTCGGCAATATGGTAATTCTCTTGGTGATTGTGTGTTTTTGTAAGCGGGTTTATTTTGTGCTCAGGTTGGAGGACTTTGATGGTGAGGAGGTGGATGAAGAGGCCCTCATAGAGCAGCGCCGCCAGCAGCGCCTGGCTATCGTCCAGGTCAGTTCCTCTCTGTCACTCTGCTGTTGGACTGTCCGTAGCTGTTTCAGGGATCCCCAAGTCCAGTGTTTTGTGTGTTTAGAGACACATCCTCTATTTTGTTCTACACAGATATGGGAATTTTCATGATTAGATTTTTCATGATACTCCGTTGAAATTGACCCACATCCAAACCAATATCTTATTTTTCCTGATTTCCATTGTTGTGATCTCTTTATGCCTGACACCTTTCTCCCTGCACAGAAATACCGTGGCGGCAACGAGGACAGCATGACGTCCATGGCGTCGGAGCCCAGTAGCCCCCAGAGCAGCACGCGGAGCCGCTCGCCCTCACCAGACGACATCCTGGAGCGCGTGGCGGCCGACGTCAAGGAGTACGAGCGGGAGAACCTGGACACGTTTGAGGAGAACATCAAGGCCAAGCAAGGCCTCATCACGCAGGAGAAGGACGGTGAGTAAAGGGTCAGGCAAGGAGAAAATATATGTTTGGGTGTCCCAAACAGCGCCTTATTTCCTACAGTATATGGTTAATACAACCATCCCAGCTCTGCAGATTTTGCTGCGAAGAGACAGAATCATTAGGTCATTTGTTTTGGTACTGTCCACATGTAGCTTGTTTTTGGTCGCATGTCCAGGAATGGCTGAAGAATTGCAACATTTACCTGGAGCTAACTCTGCAGATAGCACTACTGGGTGATTTGAAAAGTCATAGTCAATCGATCTATAATATAATAATGCTTTTAGCAAACATTTTTATCTTTAATTTACAATGTTTAGAAACTATGAGAATAGAAAGGTTCAGAACTTTTGTGAAACATCACAGTACAGTTGAAAAATATGGCAAATAGAAATCCAATATGGATGGTGTTAAGAGATATAGTGGGGAGAACAAGTATTTGATACACTGCCGATTTTGTAGGTTTTCCTACTTACAAAGCATGTAGAGGTCTGTAATTTTTATCATAGGTACACTTCAACTGTGAGAGACGGAATCTAAAACAAAAATCCAGAAAATCACATTGTATGATTTTTAAGTAATTCATTTGCATTTTATTGCATGACATAAGTATTTGATACATCAGAAAAGCAGAACTTAATATTTGGTACAGAAACCTTTGTTTGCAATTACAGAGATCATACGTTTCCTGTAGGTCTTGACCAGGTTTGCACACACTGCAGCAGGGATTTTGGCCCACTCCTCCATACAGTCCTTCAGGTTTCGGCGCTGTCGCTGGGCAATACGGACTTTCAGCTCCCTCCAAAGATTTTCTATTGGGTTCAGGTCTGGAGACTGGCTAGGTCACTCCAGGACCTTGAGATGCTTCTTACGGAGCCACTCCTTAGTTGCCCTGGCTGTGTGTTTCGGGTCGTTGTCATGCTGGAAGACCCAGCCACGACCCATCTTCAATGCTCTTACTGAGGGAAGGAGGTTGTTGGCCAAGATCTCGCGATACATGGCCCCATGCATCCTCCCCTCAATACGGTGCAGTCGTCCTGTCCCCTTTGCAGAAAAGCATCCCCAAATAATGATGTTTCCACCTCCATGCTTCACGGTTGGGATGGTGTTCTTGGGGTTGTACTCATCCTTCTTCTCCAAACACGGCGAGTGGGGTTTAGACCAAAAAGCTCTATTTTTGTCTCATCAGACCACATGACCTTCTCCCATTCCTCCTCTGGATCATGCAGATGGTCATTGGCAAACTTCAGACGGGCCTGGACATGCGCTGGCTTGAGCAGGGGGACCTTGCGTGCGCTACAGGATTTTAATCCATGACGGCGTAGTGTGTTACTAATGGTTTTCTTTGAGACTGTGGTCCCAGCTCTCTTCAGGTCATTGACCAGGTCCTGCCGTGTAGTTCTGGGCTGATCCCTCACCTTCCTCATGATCATTGATGCCCCACGAGGTGAGATCTTGCATGGAGCCCCAGACCGAGGGTGATTGACGTAATCTTGAACTTCTTCCATTTTCTAATAATTGCGGCAACAGTTGTTGCCTTCTCACCAAGCTGCTTGCCTATTGTCCTGTAGCCCATCCCAGCCTTGTGCAGGTCTACAATTTTATCCCTGATGTCCTTGCACAGCTCTATGGTCTTGGCCATTGTGGAGAGGTTGGAGTCTGTTTGATTGAGTGTGTGGACAGGTGTCTTTTATACAGGTAATGAGTTCAAACAGGTGCAGTTAATGCAGGTAATGAGTGGAGAACAGGAGGGCTTCTTAAAGAAAAACTAACACGTCTGTGAGAGCCGGAATTCTTACTGGTTGGTAGGTGATAAAATACTTACAGTGGGGAAAAAAAGTATTTAGTCAGCCACCAATTGTGCAAGTTCTCCCACTTAAAAAGATGAGAGAGGCCTGTAATTTTCATCATAGGTACACGTCAACAATGACAGACAAATTGAGATTTTTTTTCTCCAGAAAATCACATTGTAGGATTTTTTATGAATTTATTTGCAAATTATGGTGGAAAATAAGTATTTGGTCACCTACAAACAAGCAAGATTTCTGGTTCTCACAGACCTGTAACTTCTTCTTTAAGAGGCTCCTCTGTCCTCCACTCGTTACCTGTATTAATGGCACCTGTTTGAACTTGTTATCAGTATAAAAGACACCTGTCCACAACCTCAAACAGTCACACTCCAAACTCCACTATGGCCAAAACCAAAGAGCTGTCAAAGGACACCAGAAACAAAATTGTAGACCTGCACCAGGCTGGGAAGACTGAATCTGCAATAGGTAAGCAGCTTGATTTGAAGAAATCAACTGTGGGAGCAATTATTAGGAAATGGAAGACATACAAGACCACTGATAATCTCCCTCGATCTGGGGCTCCACGCAAGATCTCACCCCGTGGGGTCAAAATGATCACAAGAACGGTGAGCAAAAATCTCAGAACCACACGGGGGCACCTAGTGAATGACCTGCAGAGAGCTGGGACCAAAGTAACAAAGCCTACCATCAGTATCACACTACGCCGCCAGGGACTCAAATCCTGCAGTGCAAGATGTGTCCCCCTGCTTAAGCCAGTACATGTCCAGGCCCGTCTGAAGATTGCTAGAGTGCATTTGGATGATCCAGAAGAGGATTGGGAGAATGTCATATGGTCAGATGAAACCAAAATATAACTTTTTGGTAAAAACTCAACTCGTCGTGTTTGGAGGACAAAGAATGCTGAATTGCATCCAAAGAACACCATACCTACTGTGAAGCATGGGGGTGGAAACATCATGCTTTGGGGCTGTTTTTCTGCAAAGGGACCAGGACGACTGATCCGTGTAAAGGAAAGAATGATTGGGGCCATGTATCGTGAGATTTTGAGTGAAAACCTCCTTCCATCAGCAAGGGCATTGAAGATGAAACGTGGCTGGGTCTTTCAGCATGACAATGATCCCAAACACACCGCCCGGGCAACGAAGGAGTGGCTTCGTAAGAAGTATTTCAAGGTCCTGGAGTGGCCTAGCCAGTCTCCAGATCTCAACCCCATAGAAAATCTTTGGAGGGAGTTGAAAGTCCGTGTTGCCCAGCGACAGCCCCAAAACATCACTGCTCTAGAGGAGATCTGCATGGAGGAATGGGCCAAAATACCAGCAACAGTGTGTGAAAACCTTGTGAAGACTTACAGAAAACGTTTGACCTGTGTCATTGCCAACAAAGGGTATATAACAAAGTATTGAGAAACTTTTGTTATTGACCAAATACTTATTTTCCACCATAATTTGCAAATAAATTCATAAAAAATCCTACAATGTGATTTTCTGGAGAAAAAAAATCTCATTTTGTCTGTCATAGTTGACGTGTACCTATGATGAAAATTACAGGCCTCTCTCATCTTTTTAAGTGGGAGAACTTGCACAATTGGTGGCTGACTAAATACTTTTTTCCCCCACTGTATGTCATGCAATAAAATGCAAATTAATTACTTAAAAAACATACAATGTGATTTTCTGGATTTTTGTTTTAGATTCCGTCTCTCAAAGTTGAAGTGTACCTATGATAAAAATTACAGACCTCTACATGCTTTGTAAGTAGGAAAACCTGCAAAATCGGCAGTGTATCAAATTCTTTTTCTCCCCACTGTAGATGGGTGGTGTTGAATGGAGCTGAAGGATGGGACTAATCACAACAAGATAACTAATGTAAAATATACTGTGTCCGTAAAATGTATATAGGTTCAGAACTTTTGTGAAACAGCACAGTTAAAAATATATGGCAAATAGAAATCAAACTGCATGGTCTTCAGAAGTAGATGGGAGGGGTTGAGGGTAGTGGAAGAATAGCTGTAAAAACAAACAAAATATAACTATTGTAAAATAGATTGTGTCCGTAAAATGTATATAGTATGTATAAGCTGGAAGTAGAAGCCTAAGTGTTGTTGTTCGTTATTTTACTCCAATTAGGGGAGGGGTGGTAGGGTTAGTGGAAAAAAGTTTTACACAAGATCTCATCTCGTGGGGCATCAATGATCATGAGGAAGGTGAGGGATCAGCCCAGAACTACACGGCAGGACCTGGTCAATGACCTGAAGAGAGATGGGACCACAGTCTCAAAGAAAACCATTAGTAACACACTACGCCGTCATGGATTAAAATCCTGTAGAGCACGCAAGGTCCCCCTGCTCAAGCCAGCGCATGTCCAGGCCCGTCTGAAGTTTGCCAATGACCATCTGGATGATCCAGAGGAGGAATGGGAGAAGGTCATGTGGTCTGATGAGACAAAAATAGAGCTTTTTGGTCTAAACTCCACTCGCCGTGTTTGGAGAAGAAGGATGAGTACAACCCCAAGAACACCATCCCAACCGTGAAGCATGGAGGTGGAAACATCATTATTTGGGGATGCTTTTCTGCAAAGGGGACAGGACGACTGCACCGTATTGAGGGGAGGATGCATGGGGCCATGTATCGCGAGATCTTGGCCAACAACCTCCTTCCCTCAGTAAGAGCATTGAAGATGGGTCGTGGCTGGGTCTTCCAGCATGACAACGACCCAAAACACACAGCCAGGGCAACTAAGGAGTGGCTCCGTAAGAAGCATCTCAAGGTCCTGGAGTGACCTAGCCAGTCTCCAGACCTGAACCCAATAGAAAATCTTTGGAGGGAGCTGAAAGTCCGTATTGCCCAGCAACAGCCCCGAAACCTGAAGGATCTGGAGAAGGACTGTATGGAGGAGTGGGCCAAAATCCCTGCTGCAGTGTGTGCAAACCTGGTCAAGACCTACAGGAAACGTATGATCTCTGTAATTGCAAACAAAATTTTCTGTACCAAATATTAAGTTCTGCTTTTCTGATGTATCAAATACTTATGTCATGCAATAAAATGCAAATGAATTACTTAAAAATCATACAATGTGATTTTCTGGATTTTTGAAGTGTACCTATGATAAAAATTACAGACCTCTACATGCTTTGTAAGTAGGAAAACCTGCAAAATCGGCAGTGTATCAAATTCTTGTTCTCCCCACTGTAGATGGGTGGTGTTGAATGGAGCTGAAGGATGGGACTAATCACAACAAGATAACTAATGTAAAATATACTGTGTCCGTAAAATGTATATAGGTTCAGAACTTTTGTGAAACAGCACAGTTAAAAATATATGGCAAATAGAAATCAAACTGCATGGTCTTCAGAAGTAGATGGGAGGGGTTGAGGGTAATGGAAGAATAGCTGTAAAAACAAAAATATAACTATTGTAAAATAGATTGTGTCCGTAAAATGTATATAGTATGTATAAGCTGGAAGTAGAAGCCTAAGTGTTGTTGTTCGTTATTTTACTCCAATTAGGGGAGGGGTGGTAGGGTTAGTGGAAAAGAATAAAGGAAAGAATAAAAAAAAGTTTTACAAAAGATCTGGTCCCAAACCCAACCGTAGTCCCGCAATGTTATTTTAGGCGTATGTGACGCAGCTCACCTGCCAGCCATGGTCCCAGCAATTTTGCGTCCTAAAGGCAATATCAAATGCCCCAAAATAACTTAAGAAATAGGTTAAATTACCAGAAATTACATTTTATTACTGGGGTATATCAGCCAAAATGCTAGATTTAGTTTGAAGAGAGCAGAGTTGGAGAGACTTGCACTTTCTCTTTAGCTATTTTTATAGCCTAACTTTTAGGAGCGGGACGATTTTCAGACAGAGAAATATGATGATCAATATTTATTTCTAGGCAGTGAAGTAAACTATAGCCTAATCATATTCAGGAAGTACATTTCCTTGGAAAGATAACTGCCCCTTGCTTCTCCGCCCATGCGTAGGCTATAGCCTACTCTATTTAATTCAGACCACACGCGCACCTGATCTCGCAGGTAGGCTACTGAACTGGAAGCAGCAAGAATGACGACAGCGACACTTGCTACGTTTTGCATAGTCCTATAGGATATATCTTACTGTTTATGAGGATGATTTGCAGGCAGAGACAAATAAAAGGGTAATCAATATTTATTGAAAATGAAAAGGTGCAACGCTCGCTCACCATAGTAGCCTAACCAATGTGCGCGTTGTGCCTTTTCCTTTTCAATGATGATTCAATTTTTTGATTGCACTTCGACTCATGTTGGTTGAGCGCCCTCGACTTCTTTCCATTATTAATATTTATTTGGAGACACTGTAGTAAACTAGTCTAATATTTAACCATTATTAATATTTATTTGGAGACACTAGTAAACTACAGTCTAATCATATTTAAGTTAATTTCATATTAATGTTATCCCCCTAATGGGATAATAAAGTTGATCTGAATTTGAATTTGAATCTGTCTAACATGGGGCTTGTGTGAAAGCTGACAATGCAATGTAGGGACTTAACACTTATGACTAACATTGACCAATGGAGGGTTGTAAATTAGTCTTTGGTCTGTAAATAAGTATTTGGTTCCACTATAGTCATTCAGTTACATTCCTTCAGGTCATATCTTTAGGCCAAAACGTGTGCCAGTCGAAACATGTTTCTACTAATAACTCACAAATGTAATATATTTTTAAATCTTGCTTCCTCCTCCCTCTTTCCGTTAGGACCCAAAAAGCCCTCGGCCCCTGATATGTTTACAGAATCGGACGACATGTTTGAAGCAGCCATTGATGTAAGTCTTACAGGAGCCTCATTCCCCTCCACTGATCTCCAGCCATGTTTATATCTCTGATCGTTAGAGTGCTACTCTGGATCAGACATGCATGCCCGTCTTTATCTTCTGAATGATCTGTCTGTGGCAGTAGTTCATTATGTGAGTGTGGTTGAATGTTTGGTCATGTTGCGGTTGAACCGCTGGTCGTCTATCCTGTACAGAGTGCCAGGATGAGAGCAGCGGGTGTTGGGGGGAAGGACTTCAAAGACAACCCCAACCTCCGGGACAACTGGACCGACGCAGAGGGTTACTACCGTAAGTGCCCTTGACTGTACAAATGTTCATGTCATTCACTAATTCATCAATGAAAGGCTGCTGAGCATTTTTCTCTATAAGTCAGCCCTGTTTGGAGCCAGTCCATATAGTCTTACAGTATTCCAACCTCTGCTGTGTATGAGTGCGGTCCTTTGATTTCACTATCATTCAATAAAGTGTTATTTTAGGCCTGGAAACTGGATATCTCATTGAGAAATGTCCAACACTTTATAAACATGCCCCTCATCTCTTCCCTCTGTGTCCCACCCGTGTGTTAGGTGTGAACATCGGGGAGACGCTGGACAAGCGCTACGACGTGTACGGCTACACAGGCCAGGGAATGTTTAGCAACGTGATCAGGGGCAGGGACACGGCCCGCGCCGGACAGGATGTGGCTGTCAAGATCATCCGCAACAACGAGCTCATGTAGGTCCTCAGGCCTCAGGAAGGCAAGCCTCAGGACTCAAATGACACCCCATTCCCTATATAGTGTACTACTTTTGACCAGCACGCTTGACCAGGGCCCATAGCGCTCTAGGCAAAAGTAGTGCACTATATAGGGAATAGGGTGCCATTTGGGTTTTACTTATTGTTATGGGAGCATATTGCCTTCACCACCCATACATTTGAATGTGCACTCTCATTAGAAGTATTCCATCTATGTCTATGTGAATCGTCCAGGGTTCCCTTGGAAGATGGGAATTTATCTGATTTATTTATAAAAATAAATAAAAAACAATCGATGCTGATTTTGTTTTGGGTCTCCAGGCAGAAGACTGGCCTAAAGGAGCTAGAGTTCCTCAAGAGGCTCAACGACGCCGACCCCGACGACAAGTTCCACTGCCTGCGCCTCTTCAGACACTTCTACCACAAGCAGCACCTGTGTCTGGTGTTTGAGCCCCTCAGGTACTGACTGGGAGACTACCACTACTGCACTGTCACCGCACTATGGCTACGTCTTAAATGGCAACCTATTATAGTGCACTTCTGGTCAAAATTAATGCAATTGAAAGGGAATAGGGTGCCATTTCAGACGCACCCAATGTCCTTAGTGGCATTGTACACTGCGACGTATTTGTCATCTAGCACACAGCTTCACTGGCTCTAACTCATGTCTTTCTGTGTCATTTACTGTTCCCAGTATGAACTTGCGCGAGGTGCTGAAGAAGTACGGTAAGGACGTGGGCCTCCACATCAAGGCTGTCCGCTCCTACACCCAGCAGCTCTTCCTGGCCCTAAAGCTCCTCAAACGCTGCAGCATCCTCCACGCTGACATTAAGCCTGACAACATCTTGGTACGAGGCCCATACTATCATTATGTTAGGGATGTGACAAATGGAAAATGTTGCTTAACGTTTAAACTGCAATTTCTTTAACTGTTTTCAGTAAAACAAATATCCTGGGTTTTTCTTTATTTTTACTATTTTCTACATTGTAGAATAATAGTGAAGACATCACAACTATGAAATAGCACATATGGAATCATGTAGTAACCAAAAAAGTGTTAAACAAATGAGGTTCTTCAAAGTAGCCACCCTTTCCCTTGATGACAGCTTTGCACACTCTTGGCATTCTCTCAACCAGCTTCATGAGGTAGTCACCTGGAATGCATTTCAATTAACAGGTGTGCCTTGTTAAAAAGTTAATTTGTGTAATTAATTTCCTTCTTAATGCGTTTGAGACAATCAGTTGTGTTGTGACAAGGTAGGGGTGGTATACAGAAGATAGCCCTATTTGGTAAAAGACCAAGTCCATATTATGGCAAGAACAGCTCAAATAAGCAAAGAGAAACGACAGTCCATCATTACTTAAGACATGAAGGTCAATCCGGAAAATTTCAAGAACTTTGAACGTTTCTTCAAGTGCAGTCGCAAAAACCATCAAGCGCTATGATGAAACTGGCTCTCATGAGGACCGCCACAGGAAAGGAAGACCCAGAGTTACCTCTGCTGCAGAGGTAACTGGTGCACCTCAGATTGCTGCCCAAATAAATGCTTCACAGAGTTCAAGTAACAGACACATCTCAACATCAACTGTTCAGAGGAGACTGCGTGAATCAGGCCTTCATGGTTGAATTGCTGCAAAGACACCACTACTAAAGGACACCAATAAGAAGAAGAGACTTGCTTGGGCCAAGAAACATGAGCAATGGACATTAGACCGGTGGAAATCTGTCCTTTGGTCTGATGAGTCCAAATTTGAGATTTTTGGTTCCAACCGCTGTGTCTTTGTGAGACGCAGAGTAGGTGAACGGATGATCTCTGCATGTGGTTCCCACCGTGAAGCATGGAGGAGGAGGTGTGATGGTGTGGGGGTGCTTTGCTGGTGACACTGTCAGTGATTAATCTTGACCTGTCTGCATGCAGACCACTCTCTCCTATAAAAGTACTTTAAAGTTTGTTAAATACCGTGACTTACCAAGACATTTAGTCAAAAGAAAACGCATCTTTCGCAAGGAACCGACTCCTAAGATTCAGTATTTTTGGAACGGAGGAGACTTATTAATTGCCGTACTTCCGAGAACACAAACACTTGCAAGTTTCATAGCGAGGGACAAAGAGAGAGGGGAGGGGCACGGTATAGGCAGGTCGGCCACCAGGCAGACAGTCGGAACCGTGCACTAGGCCTATCTATTAAATCAAAAGCTGTATCTCGCAATGGAATGCAGTTTTTTTGCAATTTCTTGGCTTGCAATGTCTCGCAAATTCAGTAAAGCAGTGCCTATCATCAATGAATAGGCTAGGATATTCTACACCCAACAGACTCTCGCATCAATAGCGAAGAGAAAGAGCAGGCTAGCCAGCTGCACTGTGATTAACATTTTCTGGGGGGTAAAAAACAAAAACATTCCGTTAGGGATTCTTCTTAATGTTAAGGATTCCAATTTTGTTAATAAACGTTCACACCCCTACGTTTATATATATCATCACATGACTGTTAACCACTGCACTGAGGCTGGGTCGTGTTCATAAGGCACCAAATGGAAGAAAGCAGACTGAAACAGGGAGGGACTGCCTGGATTCGTCCAGTAAGAATCACTTGTTTTTTCGCTTTCTATAGAGTCTTTTTTTTGTTTGCGTTTTGCGACACTGCCCTGGTCTGATAGTGTCTGTTTCTCTGTCTCTCCCCACAAGGTGAATGAGTCAAAGACCATCCTGAAACTCTGCGATTTTGGCTCCGCGTCCCACGTGGCGGACAACGACATCACGCCATACCTCGTCAGCAGATTCTACAGAGCTCCCGAAATCAGTAAGTTTTATTTTTAGATTGTTTGTTGACTATAAAGATTTTTCTGTAATAATCAGGGATGTTGTAAACTTGTCACTTTTCAGCAATATTCGCCGTTTCGATCTCAAAATAGATCATCCACATGAATTGTGTAGATCTGTCTGATGAAAAGTGCGCAGAGTGTATCACCCATTGAGCTATAAAAGAGGCGTGAACAGATTTTCTTGACTTCTTCTCCCTGCGTAGCTCCCGCTCCAGGCATAAGCGGTCGCATAGGGCCCCAGGCTGCTAGGGGGCCCCCAACCCAACACAACACATTATTTTTATTTTTTTTAGGAAAGTCAGGTTCTCAACTTAATGTTGAGAGTTAGAATAGTAGAATACACAAGGTGCAAGTTCGAAATTTGGTTGTTTATCAGCAATTTTTCTCGTTTTGTCAGTCACTGACAGACACTCAATTAGCCATTTAAGCTAACCATTTTTAGATCGGTAAATTAAAGGGCACGTGCTCAGGGGACCTTCAGGAGGCCCCCATTGATTTTGTTAGTTACTCTCACTCAGATATCATTAACATGGCATAAGTCTTGGCAAAATGGGTAGAATTGCATGAAATTAGCTGTAAAACTGCACTTTTTTTTCTCTCTGCCCCATGTCAAAAAAGAAGAAAAACTCTTGAATGAGTAGGTGTGTCCAAACTTTTGACTGGTAGTGTATGTTTCTTATATCGAAATTAATTACTGAGCACAGAATGCATCCCTACACGTCCTACAAATAGAAAATCAGATACAGTATGTCAATGAGTGCTTCATCCAATATCACGTGTGACAGCTGTGAGGCTACTCAACTTTTGGGAGCTGTGTGTGTGTGTGAGGAGAGTGACAGAGTGGTGTGTGTGAGGGAGAGTGGTGTGTGTGAGGGAGAGTGGTGTGTGTGTGAGGGAGAGTGGTGTGTGTGTGAGGGATAGTGGTGTGTGTGTGAGGGAGAGTGGTGTGTGTGAGGGAGAGTGGTGTGTGTGAGGGAGAGTGGTGTGTGTGAGGGAGAGTGGTGTGTGTGAGGGAGAGTGGTGTGTGTGAGGGAGAGTGGTGTGTGTGAGGGAGAGTGGTGTGTGTGTGTGTGTGAGGGAGAGTGGTGTGTGTGTGTGTGTGAGGGAGAGTGGTGTGTGTGTGAGGGAGAGTGGTGTGTATGTGAGGGAGAGTGGTGTGTGTGTGAGGGAGAGTGGTGTGTGTGTGTGAGGGAGAGTGGTGTGTGTGTGTGAGGGAGAGTGGTGTGTGTGTGAGGGAGAGTGGTGTGTGTGAGGGAGAGTGGTGTGTGTGTGTGAGGGAGAGTGGTGTGTGTGTGAGGGAGAGTGGGGGGGGGGGGGGTGTAGGCTATTTGTGTAAAGTTGTCTGAAGAGTAGGGTGAAGATGGTTTCAAATAGGCCTAGTGTGTTTTTCCCTTACTGATCATTATGCATTTATATTCCTTACTACATCCCTCCTGCCCAATCACAGGAAGGCCTTTGGATATGAGCAAATCAGCCATTTTCTGAAGTAGCCTATTGTATTATACAGTATGAAGTTAAATTCAATGTGTTGTATTGAGTAGAGGTGTGAATATCAGGGACAGGTTTTTGTGCAGCACAGGTGCAGAACGTATAGAAAACGGGAACAGGCGTCCTGGGGGTGGCAGGCAAACTCCGTGGTATCAACATCATTAGTGAAATGTTGGTATTGTGATAACCCCACACTGAAAATAGGGACATTTTGTTGCAGTCCACAGATTATTTTGCGTGTTTCCTTGCAGATTTTTTTTCTCACCTTTTTGGGCCCTCACCAGTTTGCATCCCTGAATAATGGTCTCACATTCTTGGATCACATTCATTATGATTTCTCTCTGTCACAGTCATTGGGAAGCCGTACGACTACAGCATAGACATGTGGTCGGTGGGCTGCACGCTATACGAACTCTACACAGGCAAGATCCTGTTCCCCGGCTCCTCCAACAACCACATGATCAAACTGGCCATGGACCTCAAGGGCAAGATGCCCAACAAGGTAAACTGTCCACATTACTGGACCTGGCCTCAACCTTTTTCTCAAAGTTATAACCTGGGGCATTGTACACTGGGCTGTAAGGTACAGATGATGTTTCTTCTTTTGTTCTCAGATGATCCGGAAAGGTCTGTTCAAAGACCAGCACTTTGATCATAACCTCAACTTCCTCTACATTGAAGTAGATAAAGTGACTGAAAGGGTTTGTATATGTTCTACTTTTCACCTGCTACATTTTCAGGAAACAATCTAAGAAAGAGGACAAAACAGTTTCCCTGATTCTATCGATCTTCAGTCTGTGGTTCAAGCATAAATAACTTGCTAGGTTTGCTGGGCTAATCATGAAGGCTCATTCAGATGGTTAATGGGTTTTGAATAGTTACACTGTCTCACACCCCCTCCATTCCACCCCTCCATCCACCCATCACCATCCCGTCCACAGGAGAAGGTGACAGTGATGAGCACCATCAACCCCACCAAGGACCTGCTGTGTGACATGGTGGGCGGCCAGCGGCTGCCCGAGGAGCAGAGGAAGAAGGTCCTGGTCCTCAAAGACCTGATCGACAGCACGCTGATGCTGGACCCGGCCAAACGCATCAGCATCAACCAGGCCCTGCAGCACCCCTTCATCCAGGAGAAGATCTGACCTCAGACTAGCTCACACTATACCAGTTGCCTGGTTCCAGATCCATTTGTGCTGTCTCGCCAGCTATGGTCATTGCATGACAACAACCATAGTTGGCAAAACAGCACAAACAGATCTGGGACCAGGCTACTATACCACCACCACCACCCAGAGCAGCGATGTCAGGTTGAATACTGCAGTATGGCAGCCAAAAAGACAAGACCAGACTCCCCATTGAGAATGTTATGGATTTATATTTTTCCTTCCCCCGATTTTGATTATGATGGGTACTATAACCTGGTATCTAGTTTTATTGTAAATAGGTCATGGAAAATTGACATTCTGAAAAAAAACTATACTTTTGTGATTTATCATTGTAAAACTCCCACCCCGCCCGGGCGGTGATGCAGCGGCTATGGACTTTTTCTATTTAACTGGCATTGAAATGACAGACATTGAAAGAATATAATTCCTGTAAATATGTCTATTGCGTTGTTGGAAGAATCAAGAGTGTTGGTCGGTTTGAAATGTGTGTTGTGTACTAGTCGCATCAAGAAGATGATATATAATAGCACGTCTTCTGCAGTTCATTTTTTATGATTACCAACATTGCTCAGTCTGCGGTGATGCATGCTTTTGAATGTGCACTCTTTCGTTGTGCCCTAGACATGTGTAGCGCGGGCCTGTGTAATGTAAATGCTCTCTGTGTGCAGCAGCATTTATGTCCCATATGTAATGGCAGATGGCAGCACAAGCCCCATTTCACAGGTCCCAGGCCCGTGATTAAGGAATGGACTCAACAGTAGTACTGTACTCCCCTCTGAACAATATAAATGTTCCATTTCAAGCACAGCCCCGATTGGCTCCAATGATTTCATAACTTCTCTTTATTTCTCTATTTTTCTCTCTCTCTGACACGGTCCTGGCTATAGGCTCTCAGTTTTAAGTGCCTCGTATATGAGACTTGTGTGTAGAACACAGAACAATGCCAGCTTGTGGAAGCCACCACCCTCCCTCATTGTTCTCCTCCTATGTTGTATACAGTCACCGGCCAGTTTATTATGTACACCAATCTAGTACCGGGTTGGACCTCCCTTTTCCTCCAGAACAGCCTGAATTCTTCGGGGCATGGATTCTACAAGTCGGAAACGTTCCACAGGGATGTTGGTCCATGCTGACGCAATGGCATCACGCAGTTGCTGCAGATTGGACAGCGGTACACGACCGCCACCAGCCTGTACCGTTGACACCAGGCAGGATGGGTCCTACTGCTTAGGCCTAATCCTGACTCTGCCATCAGCATGATGCAACAGGATTCGTCGGATCAGGCAATATTTTTCCACTTCTCAATTGTCCAGTGTTGGTGATCACATGCCCACTGGAGCCACTTCTTCTTTTTAGCTGATAGGAGTAGAACCCGGTGTGCTCGTCTGCCGCAATAGCCCAACCGTGAATAGGATCGACGAGTCTGTTTGTGGCCAGCCTGTTGGCTTGCACGATTATTGCCATTCTCCTTCGACCTCTCATCAACGAGCTGTTTTCGCCCAAAGGACTGCCGCTGACTGGATATGTTTTGTTTGTCGCACCATTCTTGGGGAAACCCTAGACACTGTTGTGCGTGAAAAGCCCAAGAGTCAGCCGTTTCTGAGATACTGGATCTGGTGTGCCTGGCACCGATTATCATACCACATTCAGTCGCTTAGGTCACTCGTTTTGCCCATTCTAACGTTCATTCGAACAGTAACTGAATGCTTTGATGCCTGTCTGCCTGCTTTATATACAGTGCATTCGGAAAGTATTCAGACCTCTACTTTTTCCACATGTTGTGGATTGAATTGTTTTTTCCCCTCATCAATCTACACACAATACCCCATAATGACAAAGCAAAAACAGGTTTGTAGAAATGTTGCAAATTTATAAAAATATAAAAAACTGATCACAATTACTTAAATATTCAGACCCTTTACTCAGTACTTTGTTGAAGCACCTTTGGCAGCGATTACAGCCTCGAGTCTTCTTGGGTATGACGCTACAAGCTTGGCACACCTGTATTTGGGGAGTTTCTCCCATTCTTCTCTGCAGATCATCTCAAGCGCTGTCAGGTTGGATGGGGAGCATTGCTGCACAGCTATTTTCAGGTCTCTCCAGAGATGTTTGATCGGGTTCAAGTACGGGCTCTGGCTGGGCCAATCAAGGACATTGAGACTTGTCCCGAAGCCATTCCTGCATTGTCTTGGCTGTGTGCAGGTTTTAATCAAGGATCTCTCTGTACTTTGCTCCGTTCATCTTTCCCTCAATCCTGACTAGTCTCCCAGTACCTGCCGCTGAAAAACATCCCCACAGCATGATGCTGCAACAACCATGCTTCACCGTAAGGATGGTGCCATGTTTCCTCCAGAAATTACGCTTGGCATTCGGGCCAAAGAGTTGAATCTTTGTTTCATCAGACCAGAGAATCTTGTTTCTCATGGTCTGAGAGTCCTTTAGGTGCCTTTTGGTAAACTCCCAAGCGGGCTGTGATGTGACTTTTACTGAGGAGTGGCTTCCGTCTGGCCACTCTACCATAAAGGCCTGATTGGTGGAGTGCTGCAGAGATGGTTGTCCTTCTGGAAGGCTCTCCCATCTCCACAGAGGAACTCTGGAGCTCTGTCAGAGTGACCATCGGGTTTGGTCACCTCCCTGACCAAGGCCCTTCTCCCCCGATTGCTCAGTTTGGCCGGGCCGCCAGCTCTAGGAAGAGTCTAGGTGGTTCCAAACTTCTTCCATTTAAGAATGATGGAGGCCACTGTGTTCTTGGGGACCTTCAATGCTGCAGACATTTTTTGGTACCTTTCCCCAGATCTGTGTCTCAACACAATCCTGTCTCAATTCCTTCGACCTCATGGCTTGGTTTTTGCTCTGGCGTGCACTGTCAACCGTGGGACCTTATATATACAGGTGTGTGCCTTTCCAAATCATGTCCAATCAATTTTATTTACCAAAGGTGGACTCCAATCAAGTTGTAGAAACATCACAAGGATGATCAAAGGAAACAGGATGCAGCTGAGCTCAATTTCGAGTCTCATAGCAAAGGGTCTAAATACTTATGTAAATAAGGTATTTATGTGTTTTGTTTTTAATACATTTGCAAAAAAATCTAAAAACCTGTTTTTGCTTTTTCATTATGGGGTATTGTGTGTAGCTTGATGAGGAACATTTTTTATTTAATATATTTTAGAGTAAGGCTGGAACGTAAAAAAAATGTGGAAAAGGGGAAGGGGTCTGAATACTTTCCGAATGCACTGTAGCAAGCCACAGCCACATGACTCACTGTCTGTAGGAGCGATACATTTTTGTGAACTAAACTGGCCGGTGAGTGTATATTCCATTGTTACCATCGTCTTTCTTCATGTTTGATTTGTTTGTTTTTTCACTGAGGGAAAAAATATTGTGATTTAAGCAAATAATTGAGTTGTGAAATTCAGCTGATGTGAAAAGAGCACCTTCAGTGTACCACAACTTTTAGTAATAAAATATTTCATATTCAATATTGTTTTGGCTCTCCTCTTTTCTCAAGTACAATACAAATGTACAGCACAGTGTATTTGCCTCAATTGAGCAATGAGTTGTAATTATTGATGTTTGGGGTGGCAAACGGATAACTGGATAGAGGGCATCCTTGTCTTCAGTGTATTTTCTATGTAAGACTGGTTGACTTCCTCTTTAGGTTTGGATGCTGACTGAGGAAGAGGAGACTTGTGAAAATATGAACTCAGATTGACAGGTATCCCCATCTGTCTCTCCATTTAGCATTGAAGTTCTGCCCTGAGAGGGCACCAACCAGGGCTCTGACAGCTGTTCCCTGAAACACGCCTACCATTTCAGTCTGAGACAGACTGAGGAGAGCTAGAGCTGGAGTCAAAAGGAGATAGAAATGTCTCTGAAGGGAACTGTTCTTGTCTGAAACATTTGCAGCCTGGGAGCTTCAAAGTCAAAGAGCCCATCTCACGTGTCCAGTTGGAACGATTTAGCTCTCCTCTTTTTATTTCCTGTCTTCTGATGCTACGTAGTAGGTACCCATTTGAAAGTCCTCCATTTCAATCTCGGTGATTGCAGTGTTCAGTCACTGTGGCTTCTAAAAGGCAGAGAGCATTTAGGAAGTCTTACAATGTCCAGGGGAAAGGCAAAATAAAGTTAAACTTGGCTCTACTTACGTCAAGGGCACCTAAAGGACTTGAAATGGTTGCTAATGGATTGAGTTGCCATTTTAAAGGATTGGGTCAATTATGGGCATTGTGAAATGGCAGATGGCAAAGAGGTCAATCAGAGAGTCTCACAAGGGGACAGATGATCCATTACCTGTAGCTCAGTTGGTAGAGCATGGCGCTTGCAACGCCAGGGTTGTGGGTTCGATTCCCACGGGGGGCCAGTATGAAAAAAAACATGAATGCACTCACTAACGCTCTGGATAAGAGCGTCTGCTAAATGACTGAAATGAAATGAAATCTCTGGAGCCACAGATAATCTTCTGAGGGCAATCTTTGGTCAAAATATAAGAATCTCAGTGTATCAGAGAAGATTAGGGATTTTCTACCAAGATAATTCCATATCACAGAATGGTAACACTTCATTTTATGGGGTCCTTATTACAGTGGTCAAGGTAAGTATTGTAGTTAATTGTAATAACTCATAGTTACACTGTAATAACATGTAACTAGTGTTAATCTTGCAGTCTGTAAATAGAGGTGTAACAACCATGCTTGTTACAAATGGGCATGTTTCCACTAAATTCACCAATTTAGTGTTTTGTTTCTTCTCAGCTGCATCCGGTTCAGTAATAACTGTCACAAGGTTGTAATCTCTCATGGACAGATGCGCTGGTTGTCATTACAAAGGTCGGAGGCTCAATAGGCTCTAATTACCTACCTGTGAATGTGCACTCTTCAAAATCTCCCAAAGTGTACCATCTGGGTTAACAGATTAGATATACACTGAGTGTGCAAAACATTAGTAACCCCTTCCTAATATTGAGTTGCACCCCCTTTTGCCCTCAGAACAGCCTCAATTTATTGGAGCAAGGACTCTACAAGGTGGCGAACGCATTCAACAGGGATGCTGGCCCATGTTGACTCCAATGCTTCCCATAGTTGGGTCAAGTTGTCTGGATGTCCTTTGGGCCATTCTTAATACACACAGGAAACTGTTGAGCGTGAAAAACCCAGCAGCGTTGCAGTTCTTGACACACTCAAACCGGTGCGCCTGGATCCTTCTTTAACATGTCTCCTCCCCTTCATCTACACTGATTGAAGTGGATTTAACAAGTGACATCAATAAGGGACCATAGCTTTCACCTGGATTCACCTGGTCAGTCTATTTCATGGAAAGAGCAGGTGTTTCGAATGTTTTGTACACTCAGTGTAGGTCAACCTCACTGACTGGGGTCTACCATATGGGTGTCATCCCAGATTGTAAAAAAGAAAATACTTATAATGAATGTGTGCATTACCCATTATGACAATCTGAACCTCCTTGCCATCCAAGTGAGAGGATAAACCCACAAGTACACCACAGAGTACATGTCATATCTGCATAACTACAATTCAATTACTAGATGTTACACAGTATTTAGCTACATAAAATTAAGTGTATCTTGAGGGGTACTTACTTGTAATTAATGTGTGTTTCTCAGTGGAGGAAGGGGAGGACCATCCTCCTCAGTGAATTTCATAAAATGTTTAATTGTAAAACATTTAAAAATGTTTCATTTTTAGATAAAACTACACTAAATATAATCACGTCACCAAATAACTGATTAAAACACACTATTTTGCAAAGAAGGTCTACAGTAGCCTCAACAGCACTCTGTAGGGTAGCACCATGGTGTAGCTGGAGGACAGCTAGCTTCCGTCCTCCTTTTGGTACATTGACTTCAATACAAAACCTAGGAGGCTCATGGTTCTCACACCCTTCCATAGACTTACACAGTAATTATGACAACTTCTGGAGGATGTCCTCCAGCCTATCAGAGCTCTTGCAGCATGAACTGACATGTTGTCCACCCAGTCAAAGGATCAGATAATTAATCTAGTACTGAAAGCATAAGCTACAGCTAGCTAGCACTGCAGTGTATAAAATGTGGTGAGTAGTTAACAAATAATTTCTTCCAAAATGAAGGAGAAGCAAGAGAGAAATAGAGAGAGAGAGATTTCATCTTTTTTTTCACTTTCAGTTTCACTTACTTAGCTAGCAAATGCAGCCAGCTAGTTTAGCCCACTGAAACACCCTGCTCAAACAGAGGGATGCTATGTTAGCTAGCTGGCTATGACTTTCCAACACAACACTGGAACTCTTCCAAGTCAAGGTAAACTTTAGGTATTACTAATTTATTGCCACCGGGCCGCCGGTGTGTAATTGCTTACTGACTGTACACTGTAAAGTTACTGCATGATTGTAGCGGGTTTAGTAACGTGTTAGTTCTATTAGCTATGCTGACTATGATGTTGCTTTAGCCAATATGGTGACAACGATGTAGAATGTGTGTAGCGGTTTGGCTTGGAAATGTTTTTTTTGCCTGGTCACATACAGCTGATGTGTTGTGCATTGGAGTCCACAAGTGAAGGGAAGAGGTGAGAGAAGGAGAGCGCATAGATGCGAAAAGGAATACAACGTGGCTGCAATGAAAGTGAACTGTGTTTACGCGTGATCAGGGGTGTATTCATTCCGCCAATTCTGTTGAAAAACGTTTATTAAATGGAAGCAAACGGACCAAAACGGGGATAAACATACCTGAATTTGTCCAATAGAAACTCTCGTTTGCAACTGTTGGACTAATGATTACACCCTATATCAGATAGATGCAGGCAAGAGTGTGCAAGGCGGTATTGAATGTCACTGTCTGTCACCTCAAATTTGTCTCTCGACCTGTGTGCACCTACGTTGTAAACTCTCATTCATAGGCTAGATTGTAGCAACCTCATGATGGGTATAGGGAAAATGTGAGTATCATGTAGTAGCCTAAACCTATCGCTGTTACATTGAACTGGGTGAATGGAATATGAATGAGAGTCATCTGATATGCTGTAATAGAAATAAGGCCAAGCTCATGAAAAAAAATTTGTCCTCCCACATTTTATACGGCACTGACCGCCACTGGTACTTATATAGTACATTACCCATCCTAACAACCTGGCCCTTATGTTCAAGCTTCCGGGAGCATCCTAGTGTGAGGATAAACAAACTAGTACACCACAGAGTACATGTCATATCTGTAGAAGTACAATGTAATTACAAGGTGTTTCGCATTTGAACTAGTCCTGTGTATCTTGTGGGGTACTTACTTGTAATAAATAAAGTACGTTAGCCATTCTGACAATCTAACGTCAACTTCTGAAAGCGCCATCCAAGTGTGAAAATAAACACACTAATACACCACAGAGTACCTATCTGTAATATCGTCATAAGTACAAGGTTGTCGCTAGTTACACAGGATTTAGCTAAAGTAAAGTGTAACTTTATAGTTAACTATGAGCAATTTCTATATAATTACTTATTACTCATTACCAAGTGAAAATACCTACAAACAAAAGATGAGCTTCTACTTTAGTCAACTTTATTGCAAAATGTACGTCTTACAAAATAATAAGGATTTTTATTGTTAGATTCATAATTAGATTATTTGGATTAAACAAAGATATAGGCGACTAAATACCATAAAAATAACTATTCTAGTGGTGACTCAAATATGTAGACTATATAGTATGGTGAAAAGTGTAGATAGCTAGCTAATTTAGAAAAATGGGATTGTCTTTTTCTTCCCTTTTTCACATTACAAGTAACAATGAAAATCGACAACTCTATCTCTGACTGTCTTCATCTGTTTCTTTCTTGTAAGCATTTTCCCATCCGGGAGTCTGAGACCTTGTGGTAAACAGTGGCAGAGAAGAAGAATGGATGACAATTTAGCATAGACACTCTGCAGTACCCCTAGTTATCATCATCATGGTTTCTATAGTTTAGGCATATACAGTGCCTTCAGAAAGTATTCACACCCCTTGACTCTTTCCACATTTTGTTGTTACAGACTGAATTTAAAATGGATTAAATTGAGATTTTATGTCACTGTCCTACACACAATACCCCATAATGTCAAAGTGGAATGATGTTTTTAGAGAAGTATTCAGCCCCTTTGTTATGGCAAGCCTAAATAAATTCAGGTGTAAAAATATGCTTAACAAGTCACATAATAAGTTACATGGACTTACTCTGTGTGCAATAATAGTGTTTAACATGATTTTTTTATGACTACCTCATCTCTGTACCCCACACATACAATTATCCCTCAGTCGAGCAGTGAATTTCAAACACAGATTCAACCACAAAGACCAGGGGAGGTTTTCCAATGCCTTGCAAAAAAGGGCATCGATTGGTAGATGGTTAAAGAAAAAAACACACAATGAATATCCCTTTGAGCATGGTGAAGTTATTAATTGCACTTTGGATGTTGTATCAATACACCCAGTCACTACAAAGATACAGGTGTACTTACTAACTCAGTTGCCGGAGAGGAAGGAAACATCGTTTTTTGGGGAATAAAAATAAACAGAATAGAGCAAACAAAATCCTAGAGGAAAACCTGGTTCAGTCTGCTTTCCAGCCAACACTGGGAGACAAATTCACCTTTCAGCATGACAATAACCTAAAACACAAGGCCAAATACAGTGGGGAAAAAAAAGTATTTAGTCAGCCACCAATTGTGCA